CTAATATACTTAATATCGTATTACCTTTGATATTTTCTTTCTCTGTCCCTCTCATATATATATATATATATATATATATATATATATATATATATATATATATATATATGAGGCTCAGGCACTAATATTCCATGGTTATAATTTATTACATCAGAATCGTAATCACGATCCAATTCAGACCTACAAATACAAAAAAGCTTTGAAGGTCTGATGAATATATATATATATATATATATATATATATATATATATATATATATATATATATATATATATATATTGACTACTAATATATATATATATATATATATATATATATATATATATATATAAAGTAATGAAAAAGTTTGGTAATTCTTATGGATAATCCCAAGGAGGGTGTAATCCAGAGAACTCAATGTCAATTTTTTTTTTTTCTATTGTAATTGAATATATATATATATATATATATATATATATATATATATATATATATATATATATATATTGCACACAAAATAGAGCAAATTTCCAATTTTCAATGAATTTCCCTTTCATTTCTTTGTCTTTTCTTTTCCTTTTCTTTTTTTATGTATTTTCAAATGTCAACATTGATGTAACGATTTCTTTCGATAATGTGTATGTAAATTAGGACCCCACGTCTAAAACCCCAATAAATTAGGTTATAAAAATAACATCGATTCGTCTATTTTCTCTATTTTATCCTCTCTCTAATAGATATTATCTCTTTCATTACCCCCACCCTTCCACAATCTTAGATATAATCCTTTTTCCCCTCCCCTTCCAAAAGGTTACATCTGCATATTTTACATGAATTTATTTTTCAGGCCTGGAGAAATTTTGTTAATTTTTATTTGTATTACGAGAACTGAAGTCTTGGGGTCAATTTTCCGGCCTCAATAATATAAATATAGTCTCATGGCTTTTTAAGGGATCGCGTTTTTAAAATACTAATTATTGCTCTGTCTTTGACATAGAGCTCTCTGTGCTACACTTGAACACACACACACACACACACACACAGATATATATATATATATATATATATATATATATATATATATATATATATATATATATATATATAAAGACCTGTACCCACAGAAGAAGAAAATATATTTAAATAGAAATTATTTTACCTTGAGGGACACTTTCTTTCAACAGTTTCTCAAAAAGGTGGTCGTTGGCAATTAGCAGGAAACAATCAAAGACGCATTAATAAATAACGAATTCCTTAAGATTGATCGAGAGATTATGAGTCACTTTTTGCGATTTTATACTCTTTTTGTAAATTCGTATTTTGTTTTTAGCCGTTAATTTATTTATAATTAAAATCGATTTTAATCGTATTCCAATGTTCCCCGGCTCATTCGTTATTTACTAATGTGTCTTTCATTGTTTCCTGTTGCTCATCAACGTTCACCTTTTGAGAAACTCTTGACCGAAAGGGACACTAGGTAAAAAAAAACGTAATCTCTCTCTCTCTCTCTCTCTCTCTCTCTCTCTCTCTATATATATATATATATATATATATATATATATATATATATATATATTATAGAGAAATATATATTAAAGAGAAACGCGAAGCCGCAAATGTTTTATAATGTGGAATTTTTATTTACTTATTTAATTTTTTTAAATATATATAATACTTTATACTTTTCCATAATTCTACACACGTTTCAGGTCTTATAACCCTCACCAGGCGAAGGATATTTATTTCCACATATTATTTACACGAATATTTTTTTTTATGTTTTCCTATGATGAACCAATGTCTTTCTTCTTGGATTGGTGGAGAAAATATTGCTCTAAGTATAATAAAACAATTCGGATTGGTCAGAAAAAGGTAAAAGGAAGGAGGTCTTTGTTATTAGTTTTAATGACCTCTGTATCTTTTTAAACTTGTCTCCGTTTTTTTGTGTATTGTGTGTGTGTTTGTGTTAGTATGTCTATTTAGAAAATTTTCTAATTTTGAAGAGAAAAGAATCAGGAACAAAGAACAGAGACACCAGGAAAGGAAAGAACGAATGGGTCCAGCCTTCCAGCATAGTTCACCATGCCACAGCAAACCATGCCACAACTGAAACAGACTTCTTATGTTTTTTTAATATTTAATCAAGTTCTAAAAAAATTAAATTGTTTTTTCCTATATATATATATATATATATATATATATATATATATATATATATATATATATATAAAATATACAACCAAAAAATGCAAGGAAAACACAAAATTCCCAGAAGTTATTACTATACAACCACATAATAAAACAACTCACATTTGATAAAATAGTTTTTATCACAGGAGATATTATCTTGAAGTGTGTATAAAACATTTATTACATACACAAAATAATAAGAATATGTATAAAATGTGTAATATTCGATAATATGCTTTTCCAGAACGGTTTCGCTCGCTTAAACCGTTACACATGGTATTATATGGAAATAATTTAACGTTTCAATCTGGAAAAATCTGCGTGTAGTAAAATTATGGAAAATAAAGCATAATATTTTTTATTTAAAATCCACATTACAACCAAAAACTTTTGCGGTATCTCTTCTTTTTAATATATACACTTTTCTCTCGTTGGAACTATTATAACCTCTTCCTTGTATATATATATATATATATATATATATATATATATATATATATATATATATATATATATATATATATATATATATATATATAATACATATATATATATATATATATATAATTTTAAGGTATGTTATAATCATGGGTCAGGGTGGTCAGGGATAAAGCGTATGTAAATATAAAAGTGGACATTGAAGTCAATACCCAGGGCGAGAGTCTGTTTAATGGTCTGACGATTGCGCTATATATATATATATATATATATATATATATATATATATATATATATATATATATATATATATATATATATAGAGAGAGAGAGAGAGAGAGGCTAATTTCTAATCATTTGGGTTTAAGATCAAAATATGAATATGAGAGAGGTGTTCAGAATTTTATCTTTTATTTCTTGCTGGGGTTTATATGTATTAAATAATTTTACACTCTTCAAATACCATCTCTTGTGATCGAAATTTTCTTTAATGCAGTTTGTTTCTTTTACATTATAATAACTTGGAGAATTTTTTTAGTCTTTCCTTGCATAAATAATAATAATAATAATAATAATAATAATAATAATGTTACGTAATATGAATGAAGTAAGGCTTGGCAATGGGACAAGCGACTGATTGATGAGAAGCTTAGGCAACATGTCATCGGGCTATTATTCTCTCAGCTGGTGCTCCAAATGAGAGCAATGGAAGTTAGTGAATGAAGTTGGTAAAAGTGGAATCTCAATTCCAATCATACAAACAGATGTGCATTTTCGATTTAGAAGACATTAATTGTCAGTCCGCCTAAGCTTTGACATATTCATTTCGAAATCCCAAGAGCAAACATTTTACAATTCCATGCCTACATCTGCTTTGCTTATCTGTAATGTCATGTAGGATGCCCGAAAGTTGGAAAAACTCTAAAAAATCTATCCATACACCTCCTCTCTAAAAATAATATTTTATTTTAAAATGCCATTTTCCATCAGGACTTAGGCGTTCATGACACTACATATAATCATTTTCTTATTACCTGAACATTGCCTTGCATTCTTGGGTAAGGTTATTTTCCTCTGGTTTCTCGACAGTTTAGAATTTGAAGTCTTAGATTAGTAGCCACTCACACAAGGCTATAAATAGTTTAGTCTATTCTGCTATTTGACCAATCTCAATACGACTCTGCAAGAAAAACGGCTGATTTCTGCAATTCCAAAAGGTGTCATTTACCACGACGACAACACGAGACTCCATGTTACAAAACGGATCTTGAAGAAGCTTAAAAATTTGAAATGGAAAAACCTTCCAGCACCCACCTACCGTATTCTCCAGACTTAAATCCTTCAGATTTTCATTTCTTCCGGTCTCTACGAAACAATTTAAATGACAAAAATATTGACTATTTACAGTCAGTCGAAAACTTTTTCTTCCAACAAAATCATGAAGTTTCTACGCAAAAGGCATCAGTAAGTTTTTAGGACGATGGGAAGCAGTTCTGTCAATAATGGTGGGGGGCGGCTAAGTATTTGACTAAAAATATGTTTTGTGAGTCTGTAAAATTTTGTTTATAATTTTCTAATCGGGCCCGACCTTTTCTAAGGATCTAACCTAAACAACCATTGGCGACCATAGCTAAGTCCACCAGCGAAAAAAGCTGAGTAAGCCGTCTGTATAGGATACAGTTTGCATATTATAAGCCTCCACCGAAAAAGATAATATAAAGAACACGAAAAAATAATAATAATAATATATATATATATATATATATATATATATATATATATATATATATATGTATGTATATGTATGTATGTATGTATTGATGCATGTTTCATTAAACAAGTTTTGTCTATTTTAAGTAAGTTCCTTTCATATTGTCTGATAAGCTTAATAACATTATCATTAAAAGAGGAAAGGAAATCACCATATTGATACATGTTTAAATCCTATCTAAGCTTTCGGCTTACACAAACCATTATCAAAGATGACAATTACATTTCAATATATCAAACAATACTCTAACAAATTCTTGAAGCTATATCCATAAAACAGTTGAAACCTAACCTGAACAAAATAAACAGCGAAATCTCGACAAATAAGCAAAAATAACTAAATAAAGTGCTCAATACAGTAAGTTAAACCTAGAGAACCAGACAAACCTACCAAGGTTTCACCTCAGCGGATCGTCAGGGAAGCCCAGCCTCATCACACGGAAATAATGTTACATTTCCGCAAATCAATTTTATTCCAAAATTAATAATGAATAAAAAAAAAGTTGTCTACTATCTGAACGTAGAATTAAATCTGGCAGTGTCATCCCATAATTGAAACCCAATGCAAAATTAAAATATGTAAATATCAGATCTAACCACTGTGCGAACATTGTAAAGCAGATTAAAAGAAAGGAAGAAAGAAAGAAAGAAAGAAATGGGTGAAGATAATGTATACTGGAGAGATAGAAATTACAAAAGAGAATGTATAGGGGAAAATGGAAAGGAAAGAAAGAGAATGTATATGGGAGAAAGAAAGAAAGAAAGAAAGAAAGAAAGAAAGAAAGAAAGAAAGAAAGAAAGGCAACGTATAGGGGAAAATAGGGGGGAAAGAAAGAAAGTGACCAAAGAGAATGTATAGGAGTAAGAAAAAAAAAACAAAGAAAGAAAGAAAGAAAGTGACAAAAGAGAATGCATAGAAAAAAGGAAATATGGCTAAAGAGTTAGGACATCCCAACCATTAAGTCAGGCAGAGAGACACTAGGGCTTAGGGTATTTGAGTACTTGAATCATGAACTGCGTGGGACGGGGTGGAATCGAAACCGACGTGCAGAGTACAATAAATAAACAGTTAGCTGAGCCCAGCAGGGTGGCCAACATTTGACTAAGAAGGGACGTCTGAATTATAAATATCCCGCTCTGGGACACACATGGTTACTGGATTTGTTGAATTTAAGGTAGGGAGTTTCACAAGCTCTGATTGATATCATTCAGCGAAGAATTGCGGCCAGACGAGTTGAAAAGAGCCCAGTAGCTTTTAAAAGCCCGGATATGAAAAAGGAAAAAAAAGTAAACAAGAGCTGAAAAGTTCTAGGCCAGATCTGATATTTCATCACTTTTTCAGAGTAACCAGACGTAACAGTGAAGAAAGGAACGAGAAGAATTTACCAAAGCAGATTCTCATTTTTGTGTGCCGTGTCCCTTCAGGACGTAAACGATCATGACCCTCCACATTCTCCTGTTCTTTGTAGTTTTTAATAAGTTTTGCCTTTTTGTTATTTCTTCCAAACCCTGTTCTGCCATCCATTTACTCAAGATCATCAAGTATGTTACGCGCTGCTTTTCGCTTCTTTCAATCAATTTGTCCTGTGTGTATTATATTTTCCAAGCCCTCCTTCATCATTACGTACCCCCAGAAATTTCAACTGACACTTTTGATGTTAAGTATAAGTTTCTTTTTTGTTTCCATTTTCTCCAAAACTTTGTTATAGCTCATACGTTTGGCCCATCAGAATCTTTATGTACAGTGCTGTTCGATAAAAGTGACTCACCAGATTTTTTTTTACTAAATGTTCTCTTCTCCGATGAAACGAAAGATGAGCTAAATTCAAAGGATAAGCGATCTAAAATCCGAAGAAGAAGCTTTGAAAGCTCTTTGAATTTAGCAGTAAGTACTGTCAAGCATCCGTTTTGTATAATGTTCTGGGGTTGCTTTTCTTTTCATGGTACTGGTTTCTTGAATCTTATTGAAAAGACCCTCAGGAGCGAGCAGTACAAGAGAATTTTTGAGTTTTGTCTGCTCCCTTCTGCTGAAAGGGTGCAAATCGACCCCACCAAGCTCATTTTTATGCAGGATAATGCTCCCTGTCACAAATCAAAATATCCTGACCTCAACCCCATAGAAAACTTATGGAGTATGTTGCTCAACTGCTTTCTCAAGAGACTGTACTTTATAATGCTCCATAAGTTTTCAATGGGGTTGAGGTCAGGAGATTGGGGTGGCCATTTCATAATAATCACCTGCTTCTCATCAAAGTATTCCTTCATCAATTTTGATTTTGATTGTATTGGGAAAGAGTATTATGGCCAGACGAAACCAAAATTGAGTTGTAATTCTAAAAATCATGTATGGAGGAAAGATGGTAATGCCTTCAAATAAAAGAATACAGCTCCAACAGTGAAATTTGACTGCATCGTAGTTTGGGGATGTTTTACTGCAAAAGGTGCTGGTAACATATCAGTAATAGATTGTAGAATCAAAATATTATGGAAGCAAATTTAATGATTACGATTGAAAATCATGAACTTCCTTCTGACTGGATCTTCCAATAATGATCCTAAGCCCACTGCAAAATCTACAAAGAAACGGCTTGCTGAAAATAATGCAAATATCCTGAAATTGCCAAGTCAGTCCCCAGATTTAAAACCCAATCGAGAATCTACGGTGTTCTTGGAAAATTCAAATCCAGTCAAGACCTCCAACAAAAATCCCGGATCTGAAGACAATATGCGAAGAAGAATGGATCAAAATACCAACTAAAATTTGCAAATCCTTATTGAAGAACTACAAGAACAGGTTGGTTGCTGAAGAAGTGAATAATGGCTATTCTTTAAAGTATTAAATGAAGATTAGATTTTTTTTTTGTATTGTACGAATACTTTTTTCATCCATTAAAAGGGATAAATGGAATTTATTTCTATTAAATCAATTTTTTTCATTTATGGGAAACTTCCCAATGATGGAAGTGGAAGGCATGCTTCGATAACTGCATTTTTAAATAAAATATTTCAGTCGCATCGTGATTCCCCACCTGATGAAACGTTAAAAAGTTTTTGTTTTATTAACGTTGAAACAAGATGTACAGTTTGTAGTGGGTATGTGCATGTTATTATGTAACACTGCATAATACACACACACACACACACACACACATACATATATATATATATATACATATATATATATATATATATATGAAGAAATATAGTCTTAATGTCTTATATATTTATGGGATAAAGTGCTCAATATCAGAGATAGAGCTTGTGCAAATATAAAAGTGAACATTTAAGTCAACACTTAGAGGCGACAGGCAATCGTCAGGACACCTGTCACCTCTAAGTGTTGACTTCAATGTTCACTTTTATATATATATATATATATGTATATATACGTATTTATAGGCTGTCCTCTTTCTCCAATACTTTCGAATAAACAAGTATGTGGAGAAAAGCTACTGGTTACTACCATCTTTCTATCTTTTGTATTTTCCTCGTGCACGTTCAGGGAAGGAAAAATCCGGGATTATATATGGATAAGAAACAAAACGTAAAAAAGTAATCAAGTAAAACAACACACCAGTTTCTTAGCATTCATGGGATTTCGTGATGCTGATGCGATTTGAAGTTCTTTTGATCGATAGATGTAGTAATGTTTAATATTGAATCATTTACTATTTTAAATCGGGTAATTTATTTATTTTTGTATCACGCTGTAAACAGTGGCCGGGTAGCGTCACCCCTATCGGTCAACAATTTTCTTCTCTGTGGTGGCATTTTGGTGAATTATTATAATAGAGCAGTAGTACTTACACATACGCGAACACTCAAATCCCATAGACTCCTTGAAGAGTGTGGGCCCATAGTTCTCAGCTCTAGACATTGCTGCAGTAGTTTCCATAGAAATTAGTAGTTTTACGGGGTATAGAATATGGGTATTCGGTTTTGAATTCAGAGTTTTCCTTCTCCTAAACTGGTTGCCAATTACTGCTAATGAGTCTTTCTTAATTTTTGCCACTGAGCGGAGAACTGGATTCATAACTTACCAAAGAGTATTTGTACGTAATTAAATGCAATAAACTCGACTAGATTGCGAACTTTGCACTTTGATCATTTAGTATACAGAATTATTTGTCGTGTGTTTTACGGAATGAAGTTTCTAATTGAATTCTCTTAAATTGGTTACCAACCACAGCTAAAGAGCCCTTTCTGATCTACTATTTCACACACAGTTGGATAAAAGGGTATTGCCTAAGGCTATTTGCGCGAATGTTAATGCATTGGACGCGACTGGGATTCGAACTCGTGTCTCCGATTTCTCATTGCGAGTCGCTATTCATTACACCACCAGTAAATAGCATCCAAAATTAATAGTCCTCATTTTTACCTCTTATTCAATCAAATATATTCTAATGTGATTCAAGATTTTTTCGGAAAGGATAGCCAAATAAATTTTAACTTTTAAAATTACCTCGTATTTTTCTATGTCCAAAATAAAATAAACGGCTGTAATAGCAATTTTCTATTACATCTTTTACTTGTTGTCAGTTTTTGCAATTTTGCTTAGAGAGGCGACCAATTCTGCGACAGCCCCAGGCAGCACAAACGCTGGTTGTAATACATGTTAGATTCAAAATATTTCATGTTTGAAAATAGATTTAAGAAATTGTATATTATATTGTATCATTTGCTTTTTAAACCGGGCTATTCTGCTGTACTAAATTACGGATGGTTGATCACCATAATCATCCTTTTCTCATTCTCATAACCAAACCCACCTGTAAATAATGAGCAAAGAAGAGATGTCCCTTAAATTGCGATTACTTAGAAAACAATATAATATACCAAGCCACTGCAAAATCAGCAGATAACGAAGTAAGAAAAAAATAGGAGAAACTGAATTAACCTGGAAATAGAGAAATTAAGCACACAATATATCCCTTACAAATAGTAAATACGCAAACAACACCATACTTTCTAAAAATTTATGGGGATTTAAAAAAACAAACATATGGGAAATAGGTTAAACGGCTTCATTCGACAACAATAAATAAAATTGTAAAGTCCATCTGGAGGAGAAAATAGCTTTAATTACATTCTCAGACTAACACAAATTACTGAATAAACGTTCAGCACTGATTTCAAAATACAGACACGAAAAAAAATTTTACTAGTTTCCTCTGTGTAGCGCCAGAATGTTTTTTCTCGCTTGAGTTCATCTTTCAAATCTATAAATCAACCATTCATCCTTGCATGGAATATTGCTGCCATATATAGTCTGGTGCTCCCGCTGTACGTCTCGAGGTCCTCGACAAAATCCAGAGATTGGTATGCAATGTGATGGGTCCTGATCTGGCATCTCGTCTCCATTCACTTTCACGGTAACTCTTCCGACGATTTACTTTCACTAGGTTGGCATCTCGATCTCACTTTTTCACTGTCGAAACGGTTAAATGTAGCCGTCTCTTCTACTCCAAAAACTTCTTATCTCAGACTTCCTGTCTGTGGAACTCCCTTCCTCTTACTTGCTTCCCTGATAGGTATAATCTTCAAATATTCAATTGTAATGTCAATCGACATCTGATGCCTTGATCTTGTTACCCCTCCTTCTCTTTATCCTTTCCTCAAACACCCACCCTCTTTAATCTTGCTCTCGCTCTCTGTAACCCCTTGCTTGGGGTGAAATGCTTAAAAAAAATTTTAAATAGAACAGATATTTTACACAATGCCAATACTTTTAACTAAACAAAGAAGATAATCAACCCACGAGAAGAAAATAAATATGTAAAGTAAACAAGAAAAATAAATAAGCAAATCAACAAACTACAGAGGCATGCATAAACATAAGAAAATGCAGTGATAATAATCAAAACAAATAATTAACTAACCAATAAAAATAATAAGTAAAATTTGAATAAAAAAACTTTTCAAAATATCTACAAATAACCGCATTCTACTGCCATCCTGATTCTTTCTATGTACTGTGTCCTTTCAGGGCGTAGGCGATCATGGCTCTCCACCTCCCTCTATCCCTTGCAGCTCTCAACAACTTCCTTCCCTCTGCCACCTCCCCCACAACACGCTTTGTCAACCACTTGCTTAAAGCCGCTTGTCTCTCTTTCACTCTATTCGACCCGTGAGATTCAAATTCTCCAGACTCTTCTTCCTCAATGTATGTCCCAGGAACTTCAGCTGCATCTTCCTGATATTAAGTATAAGCCTCCTCCTTGTTTGCAACCTTTCTAAGACCTCATCGTTCCTCACACGCTCGGTCCATGATATCCTGAACATCCTTCTGTAGAACGACATCTCCGTTGCCTCGAGTTTCTTCATCTTTGAGGAAATCGTCCAGCATTCGCTGACATAGAGAAGGACAGATGTCGCATAACAGCTCAGAATTCTTTTCTTCGTTACCAAAGAAATCCTCCTGTCCCGCAATACTCTACCCAGCTTTTGGAATGCGTTCTTGGCCATCCCAATACATCTACTAATCTTGGTGTCGTACATATCCTCTGTCAAATTGCTTCCCAGATATTTAAACTTTTGCACCTGTTTGATTTTAGTGTCCCCAACCTGCAAATCACATTTCAGGCTCATCCTTTTACTGATGACCATGCATTCTGTCTTCTTGTAGTTTATGCTTAGTCCCTTCATCTCGCTCTCCTTTGCTATCTTCTGTAGGAGATTTCTTTTCTGTGTCAGTACTGTGTCATCTGTGTATTTTATGTTGTTAAGATTGTGGCCACCAATGCTGAATCCCACTAGGGTTTCCAATTCTCTCAGAATTGCCTTGCTGTATAGGCTGAACAGGTCTGGTGAGAAGATACATCCTTGACTTATGCCCCTTTCTATTTTTGTATATTTGCTGAACTTGTACTCTATGTGCATGCATGCTGTTTGCTGCTAGGATAGCTTCTTGATTATTCTGATATATTTCCCGAATATATCGAGGTTGCTGAGCAGTTCCGACAGATCCTTGTGTCATACTTTGTACTTTTGTCGAAGTCTATGAAACATAGGTACACGTTCTTCTGCATATGCATCTATCTATCTATCTATATATATATATATATATATATATATATATATATATATATATATATATATATATCGGTCTTTCTGATAACATTCTGAGCATGAATATCGCGTTCCTTGTTCCAGTATGCGTGTATATGTGTGATAAAATATAGTTTTAAGATATGCAATAAATATGTGTTAAACTCCTCAGGGACAGAGTGTATATAAATATAAAAGTGGACATTAATGTGTGTGTGTCTGTGTCTAATTGTGTGTCCGTGTGTGTGCCTGTGTCTGTGTTCGTGTGTGTATGCGTGTGTGTGCATGTTTTGGAGTGTTAAAATATTCTCGACCTAAATACAAAGCCACTTCAAAAACTATCCCTTGGTTAGATTTTGACAGTTGAGTTTTACTACAACACGCAACACACACGCACACACGCGAACTCACGCACTCACACACACAAACACACACACACACACGCACATATATATATATATATATATATATATATATATATATATATATATATATATATATATATAAAAGAGACAGAGAGAGTGGGGGTGCGATGGATAAATTGTTGTCTAAATGATGCAATCAATGAATGAAAATAAAACTCATTTTAACGGATATATTTACCAAAATTACATAAAAATATCTTGAAATACTAAAGAATAAATTTATTCAATAAAATCGCCATTGGCTTCATCCACGGCCTCCAGACGACTTCTAATCTTCTGCATCTATTCTGGACAGTCTGTGTTTAAGTTGGTGAATGCTGCCATAATCCTTGCCTTTAGTTCATCTTTGGTGTTACAGGTTTTGTTGGTCTGTCGCTCAACTGTGCCCCACGCATAATAATTAAGAGGGTTGCAGTTTGAGGAATTAGATCGACAGATGTAAGGGGTGATGTGGTTGTAGAAATTGATTGACAGCCATGACTGGGTTCTCCTGCTTCTGTGGCATGGTGCAGAATCATCTTGCTAAATATGTGGCCTTCAAACAACACTCTTGACCCAGAGCAGCACTACCTCATCAAGGCACTTGATATAGGCCTTTGTGTTAAGTCTTAGTCCCCGTGGGAAGATGAATGGAGGCATAACGTCGCCATCATTAGTGATCACTGAAAACACCACGATGTTGACTAGATGTATCATTCAACTCGTCCTGAATTCTCTACTTCCTCCTCAGATTGAGAGCCAGACACTCTGAAATGTTCGTATTGGTGCTTCTGGTGCGAATGCCAAGTAGTATATCATGATGTTTCTAAATTTCTGGTAATGAATTGCGCTATGGTGATGTCCAACTGACCGCTCTATACCGTGCAGTCGACAATATCAAAATTAAACAGCACACATGCGCGAAAAAAAAAAAATATATATATATATATATATATATATATATATTAAAAAGACTGTTTGACCAACACAAAAACTGACCAGAATTCGCGTTAAAAAAAAAACAAAAAACAAATGAAAACTACAGACAAAATTTAATTTTCTCCATCAAGACATTCATTTCTGTAGTTCACTGCTACCAGCGAGCAGAAAATTATTTTTCTCCTGATGATGGCAATGTTGGCTGAAACTAGTCGAGGAATCTAAATGAAATAATAATAAAAACGAAGGGATATTAATATGCAACCCAGTGAGTCTGCAGATTTGAATTTTTTAATATTTTTATTGTTCAAATATATATATATATATATATATATATATATATATATATATATATACGCCCCTGACAGTTCATATAGAAACGACAAAAAATTTAACGACGCAACCGTGGAAATGAATGACAAAAATGCTGAAATCACGAAAGTAAATTAGACCAGAAAAAGAGAGGACGTTGTGGAGAACTATGATCACGTACCTGTTGAAAAACCATAGTCATAAAAAAAGAAAGAATAGATTTATGGATGACGGAACAAGGACCAGAAATAATGTTAATGGTTGAAAAAGATGTTGTGGAGAGCTATGATCCATAATCACTAATCTAATGAAGTGACATGGCATATAAAAGACAAAAGAAAAGAATAAAGTGTATTGTCATTAGTCGATGATTATTATTAGACCATTACCTGATAATGATTCGTTTATATACCTTGTTTGAATGCACTCAATGGCACTGAGTAAAATAGGAGGGGCAGGGTAAGGGTAAATTTAATCTGACAGAATTAATTAGCAGGCAGCCTCTGCTTATCTATAATCCACAGGATATTGTAAATCCCTTAAACAATATTCTGCATGAATACAATATTAATACCTCTCTCATTATTCTCAGACTATCCATCCTGATTTTCTGTACATTAATAACGTGATTCTTTTGAAAGACGCGGACATTTTTCTACAGATGTGGATGCATAATGTATGGACAAAACGTTTATTTTATGTTTGGTTGCCCGCCTCAAACGTGAGTGGGAAATGCCGACCTCTTTTTAAATATCGATGACAAATAAAGTAAATGAAAGAGGCGCGTCTTATACACGAGGCATTGATGAAGTGCTCCTCCCTCCCGACTAAAAATCCATTAAAACAAAAAAAAAGCAAAACAAAGAAAAACAAACATTTTAGATGTCAGATCATTTATTCTGATTGTAGGTAGTCTTTTCAAACAGATAATTTATCAGCACCCCCATATGCATGTATATAGGTGCCATTTCAGCATAATACCATGTTTGTTAATGCACTTCATACAAATATAAATTGATTTTGGTTTAAGGTATATAATGTATGTCAACAAATATTATTATTATTATTTTATCATTATTATTGTGTACATATATATGTATATATACATAGAAAGAGAGTTTATATTTATGTATGAATAGATATATAGATATTAAATGAATAAGATAGATAGATAGATAGATAGATAGATAGATAGATAGATAGATAGATAGATGTGAACAGACTGAGGGTATGCATATATATATATATATGTGTGTGTGTGTGTGTGTGTGTGTGTGTGTGTGTGTGTGTGTGTAGAGAGAGAAACAGACTGATATAGAAAACTGAAAATGAGGCAGATGAAAAAACAGAGATTCACAGACTGATAAAAAGAAAAACAGATAGATAGATAGATAGATAGATAGATAGATAGATAGATAGATAGATAGATATCAATACACTTAGTGTTTGTAGATACAGAGAGAGAAAAGTGGGAAGACTTCCATAATTTGATATAATATATTCGTATCAAAAGAGACAAATAATAATTCTGTTTGGCTCGAACAAATATTATTATTATTGTACACACACACACATATATAGTTTTATATATATATATATATATATATATATATATATATATATATAGTTTGCATTCATATATATATAGTATAGATAGATAGATAGATAATGAACATATCTAGATAATTAGACACATTGATTGATGCGTAGATAGATATTAAAAGACTGAGATAGATAGATAGATAGATAGATAGATAGATAGATAGATAGAAGACTGAGATAGATAGATAGATAGATAGATAGATAGATAGATAGATAGATAGATAGATAGATAGATAGATAGATAGATTTACTCAACTCATTTTGCACTGACACTAGATTCGATGACACGAAATATAAACTCTAGGAATATAGTGTTACAGTTGTTTTTTTCGTGGTTATGTCCCACTTTCTAAAGTTGCAGATCAGCATTTTGTATCCTGTCGTGTGTGGTGTTAGAAATTTTCTTCTTCTTTTATAGGTAATCTCCCAGTAGACAAAAAAGTGATAAAAATCTACATACAGGGATATATAACATCTATCGATAAAAACAATCTCATCAGATTAAATTTTGCACTTAGGACAAAAAAACTAAAACCTTCTAACACGCTCAATACACAATAAGAAGACCAATAAGTCAATAAATCAATGTAAGCTCTGATTTCGTTTACTCACTTCGAGAATGTATATCTAATACTAATAAATTTGTAAACAATACGTAGACTGTTACCCAATCACTTCCTTATGTAGACGATTAACTTGGTATTTTCGGATATCATATCATTTAAAATAAAATAGTATATCATATAAACGGTGAAAAATAATTACAAGATGGTCCTGAGAACAGTTTCATCACAAATATATACCACAAAATGCGGCGTGCAAGTTGACCTGAAGATTTTTAGCTCAATAACCTTTGCTATGCTATGCCTATATAGGTCGACCCTTAAACATACAGAAGCCTACAAGTGGGCGAAAACTTAGGCCTACTAGTTAAACTACAATATAAGCTGTACCTAAACTACATAAGGTCACTTCACTTGCCTACAACTTGAGATATTAACCATCATATCTTTCTAAATACGTTTTCTAAAACCTACGAAAAACCTACAACACACAACGGTATATTATGCATTTTGTATCGCTATAACTTAACGAACAATGATAATTAGTCATGTCTACTGATAAACACATTAAAGCGAATATCATCTCCTATAAAATATTGATAGCGTATATTACAGATCATGGCAGATTACACACGTACCATGACTAATTGTGTGAATGGCAGATTGAGTTAAAAGAAGCATTGGTCAGAGTTTACGTTTAGTGTATCAGATGTAGGACACCATATAGACTGTAGAGTTATTAAGATAATGACTGGGTGTTGATATTTTATTATTTCATATTAATTTCTGCGTTAATATCCTAAATATGTGCACTAAACACAAGTTGCTGCCGCGACGCCGCGCTGGTAAAGGTTTGCATTTATACCTGCCGCTTAAGTCGACTCAATTTTTGTAAATATTTTTTAGGCTTGAAAACTAGAGTTTTGTACGCCACACCACACACACACACATATATATATATATATATATATATATATATATATATACACACACACACACACACACATATATATATATATATATATATATATATATATATATATATACATAAAGTGATTTGTACCCGCAGAAATAAAACAGATTTAAACAGAACGGACGTCATTAGGTACCTTTCGACCAACACTTTTTCAAAAAGTGTACGTTGTAAATTGGAAAACAATGAAAGACACACGCAATATAACGAATGAGGGGGGGGAAGATGGAACGCGATTAAAAAAAAAGAGATAAATTTTAATTACAAATAATTAAAATTCAAAAGTGGTTGAAAATAGCAAGTTCCACAACAGTATAAAAAGGAAAAAAAGGAAAAAAGACACTCACAGTCCCTCCAACAGGCGTAAAGAACGTACAAATTGCTCCTTCTGTCTGCAGAGACTAGGCTGATGAAATTTTATAAATACAGCCTCCAGGACTCGAAGCGAGCGAGCACTGTGTAATATTGAGAAGACAAGAGATTTCCACAAGCAAGAAGTACGATAGAAGAAACTGTTAACATAGAACTTACGGTTCCATCTGACCATGTCAACTGTAAAATGATGAGACACTGTCACTAATCTAATACTGCGATTAAATTCATAAAGTCTAGGTACCATAGAGGAAAGTTCGCTAGGACAATTACCATGAAAATATTTATAGAAAAGGCAGAGGGAAGCTACATTACAGTGGTAAGAAAGGGACTTAAGTTGAAATGCCAGATTCTTATTTATAATTTTATCACGAATTTCTAAATATATAGCAGGATCACCACAACAAGTATGGCTGTAATATTCAAAACAAGGATGAATATACAAAATAGATTCTGGAGAGAAAAATCGTCTAGTGAACCAACTTTCTTGGCACCAAAATTTGATGTTAAGTTTCAAGATTACATGGATTTAGAAAAGCAAATGACTCAATCTTGAAATCATTTGAAATTGCTAATAATATACTGGTGTTCCCGAAGTGCTTTTCGGCATTTTTCAGAAGTTCCAGGACTTCCAGCTCCTTTGTTTTTAAATCCAGGATTTTCAAGACCCTCTAGAAACGCTTGCATTATTTTCAAAACACTCGTTTCATCAAGTGGTGGTGACGACTGCAGGACATCCAGACACTGGGTAATAACAATTATCTATACATCTACAATTCGCCCATGCTTAGAATATTGCGGCTTCTTCTATTTAACTTGAGCTTCTTGATAAGATCCAAAGAAGGATCTAGAATATTATTGGTCTTGATCTAGCACCTCAGCTACAATCAATTTCCCGCCACCGAAAGGTTGCTTCTCTGTGTCTTTTCTATAAATATTTTCATGATAATTGTTCCGATGAGCTCTTCGTTATGCTATTTCCACTCTTTGAATTTAAGCACAGTATTACACTGGCGGCGAGATCTCATCAATTGACAGTTGAGCTGGCTAGATATTGCCGTAAAGCCGTGGAGATTTTTGTTCTGGACTCCAATATTATTGGTCCTGATCAGCTGTCTCGGCTTCAGTCATTTTCCCACTACCATAAGATTGCCTCTCTCTGCCTTTTCTATAAATAATTTCATGGTAATTGTTCGGATGAACTTTTCACTATGGTATCTACACTCTTTGAATTTAAGCGCAGTACTACACTGCCGACGAGATCTCATCAATTGACAGTTGGGCTGGCTAGATGTAGCCGTAAATTCTATGCTAAGAGTTTCTTTTCTCACACTTCTCACGTGTGCAACTCCCTTCCAGCTCCATGCTTTCCAACCAAATTTAATCTGTAAATAATTTAAGTGCAATGTCAATCGCTATCTATTGTCCTGCTGATTACTCTCTCCTCTGTTTCTAATTCTTCCACACCCTATAATCCCCTGTGTCTTAGTGGCATTACTACCTTGCTTGGGGTGATTCCGATTAAAAACAAAATCATGATATTATATTTTATTAAACGTTATGTAGGTGGAGAGTCGTTTAGTTTGTTTTGTTTTACGGCATATCAACACCTCAGTGGGTTATTTATTGCCGACATTTTTATTGCTAGTAATATTTTTTCCTTCAAAAAAACTATTTCTGGACATATTTTTTTCCTAAAAATCTATTTCTGGTAATATTTTTCCTTCATAAATGTATCGCTGGTAATATTTTTTTCAAAAATATATAGCTGGTAATATTTATTTTTTAAATCTATTTTTGCAATATTTTTTTCTTCAAAATGTATCACTGGTAATATATTTTTTTTCAAAAAAATGTATAAGCTGGTAATATTTATTTTTTCAAAAATGTATTGCTGGTAATATATTTCCTTCAATAATCTATTTCAGGTAATATATTTTCCTTCAAAAAATCTAATTCTGGTAATATTGTTTCCTTCCAAAAATCTATGTCTAGAAATATGTTTTCTTCAAAATGTATCACTTGTAAATTTTTTTTTTTCAGAAAATGTATAGCTGATAATATTTTTTTCAAACATGTTTTGCCGGTAATAATATATTGTTGGTAATATTTTTTTCCTTCAAAAATTTATTTTTTACATGGTATTTCTGGTATTAAAACCTATTTTTACACTTTCATAATGCTTTTTACCTCAGTTTCGGGGTTAACTATTTGCCCATAGCTGGGACCCTAACATGTGCTACCACCCCGGGTCAGAGTGGACCTGGGAACACCAGCAATTAAGAGGTGGTTCCACGCTCCTCAAAACCTCCTGATCAGAGGCCCTGCTGCCGGATCTAGTTTATCGTCTTTCCCAGGACGGGAGGAGAGTTGTCTTTAAGTTATTTATTAGAGAACATTGACATTTCACGTCGAAGAAAAAAATTCACAGCGTCTCTTTGGCAATTTCGAATTGTTAGCATCATTAACATTGCGCTTACAAATTGTTTATTTTTGGGTTAGCTGTGGTTAAGTGAAATTAGGGATGTGAAACCGCGGATATGTTGTAGTTTTTGTAGTCACTTGGATTATTAGTTTACCTTCGTTCATAAAGCTTTTCCAACGTTTTCTCGCTACCTTTCGCTGCTCGCATATGTCAGATTGACAATCGATCGATTCGGCATATCGATCACGCTTTCCCCACTTTCTCCTTCGTTCCCGCCCTTATACGCCAAGAATAATTCAGAATTTGCCTTTGATGTAACCTTCAACAGCTGCTAGCAATGGCCGGCCCTGGTGGCCAACTGAATATAAAGTCGTTAATAACAATGAGCCGGAAATGGTGGAGAATCAACACCGTGAACAACACACAAACTAAATTCACAATATAAACATAGACACACACATGAAGACACATACGCACACGTAAACATATTCAAGAAAAGGCTCGCACACAAATACTTAGATATACGTCGTGCAATTTTTCTCACTTGAATCTGTTTTGCATGTTTATAAGCCTACCATTTTTCCAATATTGTTCGGAAAATATGATCTGGAGCTTCTGTTATATAGCTGAAGATCCTTAGAAAAATCCAAATGAATAATCTGCAATATTATCGATCATGGTCCGGCATCTAGGTTTCTATCACTTTCTCGTCGAAGAAACGTATCTTCGCTCTACATGCTCTATAAATATTTTCATGGCAATTGTTCTGATAAGCTTTCCTCTTTGTTAACTCAGTTTCATGAATTTAAGCGTAGTACTAGTTTGGCAGCTAGGTCTCATCCATGTACTATTAAAATTTCTAAGCATAAGTTCTGCTATTTACATTAATCGGACTATTGTCCTCATCTTTTTTGCCATATTTATCACAACGTTTCGGCCGTTGTACGTTCCGGCCTTCTTCTGGTGGTGTATGGAATGTCGAACTGAACCCTTTATTTCGCTCACTGGGGTAGACTGTTCTAGTTCCACGTGCCATGTCTAATGGATGTCAGTTATCTCCTGTTAATTCACCTCTCCAAGTTCTCCACTGCCTTAACCACGACTGTTTGGGTCCTGTCACTGGATCTAACCAACGCCTTTATCCACAGATTTCAACCTGATCCCACAGAGGGCGGTGATCTCCCTTTTCTCTCCATATGTGGTCAGACAAAGAGTTGTGAGTTCAATACCTGGTTAAGGCAGTGAAGAGCTTGGAGAGGTGAATTAACAAGAGATAACTGATAACACCCATTAGACATGGCACGTGGAACTAGAACAGTCTACCCCAGCGAGTGAAATAAAGGGTTCAATTCAACATTCCCAACGACCTGAAAAAGGCCGGAGCGTACAATGGTCGAAACTATTCTAATACTTTCTTCTCTCGCATTTCACATTTATAGAACTCTCTTACAGCTACTTACGTCCCTGCCAGTGAGACTTACGGCCATATTACGTTGAGACATCGGTTCCCGTACAATCACCGAATGTATGCAACGCTGAACTTAATCTATACTTAGATGGCTGACCGCTTGGCAATACCAGGTTCTGTAAGTTTCGATGAGCAGGTGGTATAATAAATAATGGCTCGGAATCGTTAATCAGAGATCCCAGTTCTAGTCCCAGTTGGATTTGTTATATTCACTTACGGGTAAATACTCTTTGGAAATGTAAAAGTCCACAACTTCTCCTCCAGCTATGGGCTAATTAGTAAGAGTTGTATCACTAAAACCATTAATATCGTTAAAAATAAAATAAAATTGCGTAAAAAATATTTAGATTTTGATATTAGAGGCTGATATGCTGAGAATCAAAAACTATCAAAAATCTTCAAAAATTTAACTGCAACATTAGTTGTCATCTATTTGAATACTGTTCTTTTATTGTCCTCTATCTCTCCCCGATAACAGTTCCTTAACTTCTTTTACTTTCAGGGACCCCCTTGCGTCTTGCCTAGGGTGAAATGATAAGAATGTATTTTACTTAAGCATACGCAATTATTTATTTGGTCCTCTTAACTTCGAATAATACAAAAGCTAAAAGAAAGGACTATGACTAACGAAACTATCCAAGCTGTACTAGCTGCTACACTCATTGTCTACCTTGCCTATGAGAGAATTTCTGGAAATAAGAAAAGAATAGTAACATATTAGCTTTGATAGAAATTTCGTTCGCTTATTAAGTAAATGTTTTACTTAATAAACCGAACGAATAGTTTCACCAAACCTATATTTGATTGGAATCAAAATTCGATGGAGACACAAAGCGTGAGTTTTTATGTTACCTTCGTTGGGTAGTATCATATATATATATATATATATATATATATATATATATATATATACATTCAAACACAGGGTGCAAAGAGTAAATAGTCGGTATTTTATATTTTTAATTTTGCACATGCGCGTAGTTTGTTTTTGATTTTGTTGACTGCACATTATAGTAGGGTCAGTTGGGCATCATCTGTGAGGAAAAGAGCACCATGAAGCAATTCACTCTGCCAGAAATTTGGAAACGGAATCTTGTACAGTTTGGCATTCTCGTCGGAAGCTCCAATACAAATATATCAGAGTGTCTGGGTGTAAATCTGAGGACAGTGCAGAGGCTATGACTCCATTCATCTTCCCACGTTCCTCCATTCATCCTCCTACATGGAGGACGACATCAAGTTCCTTGAGGAGGTAGTGCTGCTCTGGTTCAAGCAGGAGAACACCGTCATGACTGTCAGACAATTTCTGCAATCACATGATTTCTGCAATCACGTGATCTGACGATTTAAGTTCCAAGACTTACAACCCCCTTGATTATTATGCGTGAAGCGCAGTTAAGCGAGAGACCAACAAAACACCTCTTAACAATGAACTGAAGGCAAGAATTATGGCAGCATTCACCAACTTAAACAAGAATACCGGTCAGAAGAAATGCAGCAGATTCCGAATTCAGCTGGAGGACGTCGTTGAAGCCAATGGCGATTTTATTGAATAAATTTACTCTTTAGTATTTCAAGAAATTTTGGTAAACATATCTGTTAAAATGAGAAGTCAGTGTTATTTTCACAACAGTTTATCCATCACACCCTATATATATATAGATAGATAGATAGATAGATAGATAGATAGATAAGAGAGAGAGAGAGAGAGAGAGAGCGATAGATAGATATAGATAAGATATTAAGAAATATATATATCTAACATTAAATCGGCATGAAACTTGGAGTTATGCAATTAATGTATGACATTATCTATATTCCTTAATATACATATATTAAACAGCTCTGTTATTTAACAATGAACACTATTTTTTCTTACACTATAGAGAATTTATTTATATATATGTATATATATATATACCATCGTTCGCTCGTATACTTACGTATAATTACCCATTCGGCCATTCCTGCGAGTTGCTTTCTCTGGTTCCCAGACTGCATGAATTTAAGCCGGGCTTCTAGGTTGGTATCTCGGTCCCACCCTTTCACTGCTGAAACGGTTAAATATAAAGGTCTCTTCTACTCCAACAGCTTCTTCTTTTGCACTTCCCTTCAGTGGAATTCTCTTCCTCTTACTTGCTTCCCTGATAACTATAATGTCAGTCATCTTCTGATACCTCGATCTTGTTCCCCGTACTTCTCTTTATCCTCTCCCCAAACACGCCTCTTTACACTCGTTCTCTACCCTCTGTAACCCCTTGCATTCTAGTGGAACTCCCGCCTTGCTCGGGGTGAAATGCTTATATATATATATATATATATATATATATATATATTATAATAAAAAATGAACAGTAAGATGCAAAATCAGGTGTTCTTAAATTTACAGAGCATAAATAATATAAATTTACTGAAAAGCATTAGTTCTGTTTCATCTTGAAGATGAAACAGAGAAACCGAACTAAATTTAAATTTAATATATAATTTTAAATTTAATATATAATTAAATTTGAAGTTTTTATCTTCGGTTTTTGAAACATGGTAACTCTTGTGTAGCGAAGAATCCATATTTTAAATCAGTTAATTTATAATATATATATATATATATATATATATATATATATATATATATAGTGTGTGTATTTAGGCAGCATTATTTCATTGGTGCATGTCTCATTAAATAATATAGACAAGTTTTGTCTATTTTAAGTAAGTTCCTTTCATATTGTCTGATAAGCTTAATAACATTATCATTGAAAGACGAAAGGAAATCACCATATTGATATATCTTTAAATCCAATCTAAGCTTTCGGCTTACATAAGCCATTATCATAGATGACAATTACTTTTCAATATATCAACCAATACACGAAACACTAATGATAGTCTGTTTTTGTTGCATGAAAAATTTCAAAGAACGACTAAATCGTGTATACGAGACGCTGCTCGTGTTGCTCGATGAAGACAATGGTTTGAATAAACCCAGTGCAATAATTACTATGGCGAAGAATGATAATCAGTTGATGTCTGTGGGCAGACTAGAGGTTCCATTCCAAAATAAACAGTTAACTATTTATACGTCGGAATCACAGAGAGAGTCGACGGTATATCTCATTATTATTGTGATGTCAGTACTATTAGTAAGATTATCAATGTTGCCGATTAATATTGGATGCTAGTTCACTTCTTTTTCTTTAATGTGTTCACCCCAAGCAAGGCGATAAAGCCACTAACACCCAAGCTGTTACTGGAAGACAAAAGATAGCGATTGGTGTTGCATTTGAATTTTTAAACATTATGGATGACAAAAAGCAAGAAACCGAAAGAGAGTTCCACAGGCGAGAAGTGCGCAAGAAGAAACTATTAGAATAAAACTTACTTACTTTGAACTAGCTATTTCAGCGTTAAAACGGCTAGACATAGTTGTCAGTCTAGCTTAAATTCGTGAACAACTGGCATATTTATAGAAAAGACATAGGGAAGCCACGTCATGACGGTGGGAGAGAAAGTAAAGTAGAGATGCCAGGTCAGGACTAGTAATATTACAGACACTTCACTGAATGTTGTCAAGAATCTCAAGATATAGTTGAAGCACCAGACCAGAGATGATAGCAGTATGGAAAGCAAGGACGAATTGTAGATTTATAAATGTGCAAAGATAGATTCTGACGAGAAAACAATTGTCTTGCACGACACAGTGAACCAACTTTCCTAGCAATAGATCTCGCAGTTGATTCATTGTAATCATTCCACTTTATGTCAGTGGAAGCTAAACTCTAAAATCAATATTAGAAATGCTACCTTTTTAACCCCTTCCAGACAGGCCAGCCGTATCTGATCTGCCAAATAGTCGTTTTTCGAAATGATAATAACGATAAGCCATAAAAGAAAAAGCGATATTGAACCGGATCGAGAAAATGGTGTCTTCCACGAAGCAGCAGATATCGAATTGAGAGAAAAAAACGTTTTTTTTCATCGATAATCAAATGTATATCCGATGAAAACCAGGCGTCGAATTTGAATTCTTATTATGTATACGTACGTCATTCAGGACACTTATGATGTGGTATTAGTAAATACTCAACACTTCAGATACCTCGGCGTAAAAAATTAAATATAGGAGAAAAAGAAATGGAGCCTAGAATATGCTGTACAGAGCAACACAGCAAATTGCTGCAAAAATAAAACTGAAAACTCGATTCATGTTCTTAAATAGTTTCGTCAAATCGAGACTTTAATCTGAATGTCATGCATGGTGCCAAAATCCGTTCAGAAATATCTAAACTGTCAGCTGTATACAACCGTTTCGTAAGGTCAATGGTGCAAAAAGGCTTTGAGCGAGTAAAACCTGAGGATCATGGCAAAAGTCATCCTGGACATTATGGAGTGGAGGTAGAGAATCACAAAGACCTATACCAAATAAGAGAAACCATGTTAGTTGAAGATTGCCAACAGCAGCAACAACTAAAATGGATAGCACGTGTAAGTTGAAGAGAAAATGACATAGCCAAGATGTTGACTTTCTATAGTACTTGAAAGAAAAAGTTAAGAATTACCCCCTCCCCACAGTAGTAGAAGGAACAATAACAGCTAGTGGACTTGAAAAAACCGTTTTCCTGAAAATTCAGTCTTAAGAAAAACATTTTATATTTTTCATCCACAAGTAGTACCAGCTGCTTGGTCAATGAATGGCAAAATATCAACTTGAAAACTCAAGTCAGATTGAGACATTCATGTGGTTATCATCCATGGTACCAAACCCAGTCAGAAATATGTAAACTGTCAAATCTATGTAATCGCAACCTAGTGAAGTTATAGGGTCTTGGCAAAGATCATCATTCTTTATACCTTGAGGACTGGCGCTATAGAATCACAAAGAAAGAACTGTACCAAATAAGAGGAACCACATCGATTGATGACTAACAACAACAGCAACAACTAAAATGGAAATCATGTGCAGCTCGAATGTAAAATAATAACATAATCAATATATTAACATTCCACATCACTTCAAATAAAACGTGAGGAAGGAAACACCCACTGATACATGAAAAAGAGATTTCCTGAAAAATTGATTTAAAAAGATTTTATAAATTTCAACCGAAAACAGTACTGGCTGCCAAATGTTTCCTTGTAGGGAAACAGCTAATATGACCATGACTGACGAACTTGAGGCAGGGATATTAATGCATTGAATTTCCATGATGAATCGGACTTCGACAGAACAAATACTTGAATATATTTTGAAATATGCTTTATTTACATTATTCGAAATGTTATTCTCCTTTTAATTGCCATATTCAAAATGTTTCGGCCGTTGTACCTTCCGACCTTCTTCAGGAGTTTGAAATTGAGGATCTGTGTATGAATCTTTGGGGCTTATAAACCGAATATCTCAGCCACTTTTTTTTTACCATTGCTATTTTTTTGTTATTACTATTTCATTTTTTACCAGACCTTATATTGGAATGTATTTTCTTTTTATTCATTTCTTTTCTTAAGCTCTCCTTATTACTGGGTCCCATTTCTATACTTGGTCAGCTCAGGTGGTTTTTGTGGCCCAGCATATAGGCTGATTCCTTAAGTTTTCGAATTTTCCAGTGATGCTCTCTATTATTTCAACCTCATCCCACAGGGGGCGGTGAACTCCCTTTTCCCTCCATATTTGGTCAGCTATGCCTGATTTTTCTATTTCCCCTTACCACTTTATGATGTTCTTGTAGTCTTACCTTAAGTGGCGGTGTCTTGTTTGTATTTCTTACCACAGCTGCACAGCATGGTGTACACAGAGACCTTAATCATGTTCTCCTCTATGGGCGGGGGTCATAATCGGAAGCAGTGTCAGCGAAGTGTCGAACCGCTTTTGAAGATTGTCTTGAAATTATATGGACCACGGATCTTTTGTATTTTCTCTGATAATCCCTTCACATAGGGTCGGAAGGCTGAAGGTGTTTTCTCAGTGTTGTTATCCTCTTGTACCCTTCTATCCCAGTTTGTTGGAGCTGCTGTCATGTACCCAGTTCGAAGCGTACAACTGCCGAAACGTTGTGAACATGGCAGTTAAGATAACTGTCTGAATAATGTAAATAATGCAAGTAATCATAATATCTCATCTCAGAGATATAGACAGATATTTTGAAATCTTCTGCAGTTTTATTGTATTTTATTCCTATAAAATAGAAACGTCAATGTTTAGATATTCATGAATAAACATGTCTTTAAAACGTAGTAGTAGAGCTGGTTGTTCATACCCAAGAGTTGCAGAAATCTCCCCGTTTACTCAACACCCACATAGCTTAAACTACAACTACGCTGAGCGTACCTTAGTTTCTGGGTGAAAGTTCATAAATTCGATTAAGAGTTTTAAAAAATCCATCACACTCACATATTTGGTTATAATGATCTGCTACTTCCTGCTAAGGTAACCACTGACGGCTTCCGGAATGCTCTGTCTATTCAGTTTCGATTCGCAAAAGAAGAATCCGCAATATTATTGGCCTTGACCTGACGGCTCGGCTTCATTCACTTTCCCTCTGCTGTAATGACGCTCCTCTGTGCCTTTTCCATAAATACTTTCATGATAATTTTTCGGATTTACTCTTTATAAATTTAAACGCAGTACTAGATTATCAACAAGGTCTCATCTTTGTGCTGTTGAATTGGCTAGATGTAACCGTAAGTTCTATGTTAACAGTTTCTTCTCTCGCACTTCTACCTTGTGGAACTCTCTCTGGCTCCATGCATTCCAGTTAACTTTGATCTTTAAAAATTGAAAGGCAATGTCAATCATTATCTACTGTCTTCCTGATTACTCTTCTATTGTTTCTGTTCTTTTGTAATGTTTCTCTTTCCTATACTTTTACATCCCAGTAATCCCTTGTGTCTTAATTTTACTGGCTTGCTTGAGGTAATTTCTGTTAAATAAAAGAGACTTAGGTCAACCCCTTGTATGTTTTTCGGGTATTTTCCAACGGTACCACACACTGGGATCTTTTTCCCAAACCAATATTATCAAGAAATCATCTCTCTGACAAATCGGCTATAGTGAAATTCAAACCAAAGTCTCGTGTCCGAAATGCTAACTTTCTAACAGTTTGGTAACGTCCACACGGTCATACGGCTATGAGATAAAATCTTACAAGTTGCATAGTGGTTGACATCTAAAAAACATGGTACCGACACCCTATGTCTAGACATCCTTGTACAGCTTCAGGTTTGGAATCCTGAGCTGTTCTTCTATCTTGGCTGCCAAACAAAGCTAGACAACTCAGTCTGCACTGCTTCTTTTTAAACCATAACAGGGGGAGGTGTATATAGACTCATGCCTTTCTCAAGGGTATTTGCGTAAAAGTGGATATAATGAACTTGACCAGAATTCGAGCTCTGCTAGCCGATTTCACTTTTTTTGTATTTTTAATAAATTCATCCAAAGCAAGGCCATAAATCCACGACGACACAAGGAGCTTATAAATGTTAAAGAATATGAGAAATATATACTATTAAGGAGAGGGTACACTAAAAGAACAATTACCAGAAGATAATGGTTGACATTGCATTTAAATTTTTGAAGATCACAGTTGATTAACTGGGAAGTAGGAAAAGAGTTCCACATGTGAGAAGTGCAATGCAAAAAAGACCCCGTTAGAATAGAAGTTACGGTTACATCTTGCCATTTCAACTGTAAAATGATGAGACCTAGCCGCCAATCTAGTACTGTGTCTAAATTCATAAAGTCTTGGTACCATAGAGGAAAGTTCATCAGAACAATTACCATGAAAGTATTTATAGAAAAGACACAAGGAAGCTACAATGTGGCGGCGGAAATCACAGAAATCGAGATGCCAGGTCATGACCAATAACATTGCAGATTCGTCTTTAAGTTTTATCAGGCATCTCTAAAGAAAGGAACTGTGGTATTAAAATGATTACGTTGCAACAACAATTTAAGCGCTTCTCTTGAAAATCAACATTCTAAATATTGGCTCTTTTTTTTTCGTTTGAATTTCTGGGATGAGATTTTATTTTTATTTACTAAATTTATATATGGACTATAGTTCTTAAATTTGTTGCTTTTATTACAACATTTCGGCCGTTGTGCTCTCCGGCCTTCCTCGTGTGTATATCGCTCTATGTAAGCAAAAGGGAATTCCGAACTGAACACTGTATGTAATCTACAGGAGGGGGGTAGACCGTTCTCGTTCCACTGCTCATGTCTAGGGATATCTTGTTCTATTTCTTTATTACGTACTGCTCGATTATTGTTGGCCCATTTTCACTGCCCGATCCAGGGATTGAACACACAACCCCCATGTCACCAAATTCACAAACCCTATAGGTTACCCAGATCGATATACGCCTGAGGAAGGACGGAGGGCAGAATAGCCAAAACGTTATGATAAAAACAAGAAAGAAAAGACAATAGTCCGAATATAAATAGTGTAGATATTGGCACCTTATCTTGAACATCGCCCACTGGAATTGATTCGCAGCTACTTTAGCCACGAGACACGTTGAAAAATGAATTAATGACCTAATATGGTTGTGATTGCAATGCTGATGTTAAGATCAATGGAATTTTCACGAATCTCGTTCATACTACTCTACCCATTTCGGGAGATGATGTTGATGCTGTTGACGTGGAAAACATGATGATGATAAAGTTAATAATGCTGATTTCGAGAATGATTGATTTCTTTATGTGACGTGTAGAGGGTGAGAGAGAGGGTGCGCCCTTTACAACAATTGGGGAGATGCTGCTATCAGTAAATATGTTGTCAGCAAAAGAGAATGACGGCGTTGGCTTTGCAGTTAATAGCGAATGAATGTGACTCTGTTATAGTTGAAGAGAATCGCGCACCGACATGGCTGCGTGTGATCAACACAACTGCTGCTGATGCTGATGATGCTGATGCTGATGATGCTGATGATGATGCTGCTGCTGCTGCTGCTGCTGCTGCTGCTGTTAATCGTTTTATCATAGAAGCGTCACGTGCTTGTGACTTGGCAGCATTTTTAATGTTATTTTTTCACATTGATTCTTATTTTGTTCTCTAACTCCTCCATGGCTACTATTTCTTCATTGCGACTTCTTTCTTTCTTGTCTTTCGTTCTTTCTTTCTTTCTTCCACTGTCTTTCTTTTGTTAATTCTTTCTTTCTTTCTTTCTTCCACATCCTTTCTCAATTTCTATTACTATTTCCTTCTTTCTTTTTTCTTTCTTTCTTTCTTTCTTTCTTTCATTTGTTAATTCTTTCTTTCTTTCTTTCTTCCACGTCCTTTCTCAGTTTCTATTACTATTTCTTTCTTTCTTTCTTTCTTTATTTATTTATTTTTTTCAGGTTCTTTTTTTCTCTTGTCCATTCTTTCTTTGTTTCTTTCTTTTACGTCCTTTCTTAATTTTTATTACTATTTCCTTCTTTCTTTCTTTTTTCTTTCTTTCTGTCTTTCTTTCTTTCTTTCTTTCTTTATTTCTTTCTTGCACATTCTTTCTTTTTTTCTCTTGTTCATTCTTTCTTTCTTTCTTCCACGTCCTTTCTCAATTTCTATTATTATTTCTTCTTTCTTTCTTTCTTTTCCTCTTTCCACCTCTACTATTCGTTGTTATTTTTCTCGTTTTCTTGTTACCATCTTTTTTATTGATTGCTTCCTCCTCAACTTTGTTTTTTCTTCTCTATTTCTCCGTCTTATTATTAACCTCTATTTCTGATTCTTTCTTTCTTTCTTTCTTTCTTTCTTTCTTTCTTTCTTTCACCTTCTTTCTTTCTTCTCCTCTTTCCCTTTCTACTATTCTGTTTTTGTTACCATCTTCTTTATCTACTATTTCCTCTTCAACATGTCTCTTTTTCTTCTTTAATTTTTCACCATATTCCTAACTTAAATCTCTATTTCTATTTTCACCCTTCTTCTTCTTCTTCTTTTTCTTCTTCTTCTTTTTTCTTCTTCTTCTTCTTCTTCTTCTTCTTCTTCTTCTTCTTCCCAGCCTATACGTGCCGTGAAGTGTTCGGCAAGTGTCGTCACTTGATGAATGCCCAAACTCCAACTCCATAAACACCTGACATTGCAACACAGACTAAAGCCCTCCCCTCCCCCTCTACTCTTTTATTTGTATCTTTTTATAAGCTCTCTCTCCCTCCTTTCTCTTAATATATCAATCATTTAACTTTCACCCTTTTTCTATGCCAACTATTGCATTACTTCTCTCTCTCTCTCTCTCTTTGATAGACAGAAAGATAATGAACAAATTGAGATAGATAGATAGATAGATAGATAGATAGATAGATAGATAGATAGATAGATAGATAGATAGATAGATAATAAACAGACTGATATAGATAGATATGAGGACAATGAGGTGGGGGGAGGGGCTTTCCGTTTGTTTCCTCTCTTCCGCTATTTCTTCTCTCACCATCCCCCTTTTCACACTTTCACCTCACGTGCTTCGCATTGAAAAAAAAAAAAATTGTCCAGTCGCCTTCAGCCGATTTAATCGACCTGCGAAAAGGACAATCATATTTACTGCGTCTTAATAATTTCAAGTTCTTTTTCTTTCCTCCAAATGCATTCTCTCGTCTTTCGTTCCATCCATCAATTTGGCGATTTCCTTCCAACGTCTTTGCCTCCTCATTCCCTCTTCTTTTTTCTTTTCATTTTTTGCCTTTTCTATCTTTCTTCCTTTCATCTTCATCTTTGTCTCTGTTTTTCTTTCTTTCTATTTTTCGTCCAAATTCATTCTTTTTTTCTTACTTTCATCTGAATATTTCTTTTTTCGCCTTTCTTACTTTCTTTATATTTCTGTCTTTCATTCTTTCTGCTTTATCTACTTTTTCTTCCTTTCATTTAAATCTAGCCTATTTCTTTTCATTTCTTTCTTTTTTTTTCTTTCGTACTTATTTTATTTATACCACTTTCATCGGAATATCTCCTTTTTCTTTCTTCCTTCTTTCTTCCTTTTTATATCCATTCTTTCTTTCTCTCTTTCTTTCTTCTTTCCTTTCTTTCTTTCTTTCTTTCACTCTTTCTTCCATCCTTCTTTTTTCCTTCCTTTCTTTCTTTTTTTTTCTTTCTTTCTTTTTACGTTCATTTGCTTTTTCTTACTTCCTTTTAAATCTAGCCTATTTTCTTTCTTTCTTTCTTTCTTTCTTTCTTTCTTTCTTTCTTCGTTGCTTTCTCTGTTTCTTCCATTCTAATTTTTTCTTCCTCCCTTCCTTTCTTTCTTTTTGTCTTTCTTTTACGTTCATTTGCTTTTTCTTACTTCCATTTAAATCTAGCTTATTTTTCTTTCTTTCTTTCTTTCTTTCTTTCTTACTTTCTTTCTTTCTTTCTTCGTTCCTTTCTCTCTTTCTTCCATCCTTCTTTTTTCTTCCTTTCTTTCTTTCTTTCCTTGTTTTCTTTCATTCTTTCTTTTTTTTCACGTTCATTTCATTTGTTCCCCTTTTATCTGAAACTCTCTTTTTTCTTTCTATCCCTTTTCTTTCTTTCCTTGTTTTCTTTCTTTCTTTGTAGCATCCATAAAAATGGCTAATAGCTATCAGAAAAATTACTTTTTACATTCGCGTTTGATTCATATTTTAAAATTTCAGGTTAAAATTCATGAAATTCCCTACAGATGGTTAATAAGACCATTATTACGAAGTACGTGATCACCGTGAAAGGCTAAAAGCAACCCGGAACATTAAACATGAAAAATATTCAAATTCAACATTAAAGAACTTGAGATATTACCCGAACATAAATGAATACATATTCATTGCAAAGGATAGAATTTTTTTTTTCTGAAATTGCTCCTTTCCTGGGGGAAGTAACGTCCATATAAATGTTAACAATTTTGAATTCGTCTTCGAGGAAATCTGGTTGTCAAGGGGAAATGTTGCGACGCTAATGTGTGAATTTTAATTTATATAGCAGAAAAGACATTGTGTTGTTTTGTCGATTAGCTGTTTCATTGAACACCTTGTCACGACCTACAGACAGTCATGTCATAAATTAATGATTTTAATGACCTTAATGCCAAGAGTCGATTTAATTATTAGCCAGCAATAAAGAAATGATGGAATGGCTCAAATGTCACGTACTGACCTATGCTTTAACCATGTCATAAATGAATGATATAATCGCTTAAATATCAAAGAACGATCTATAACTTCGCCATTTCATAAATCAATGTATTTATGACCCAAATTTCAGGGATCGATCATGAGCCATATCATAAATTAAGGATTTAATGGCGAAAGAACCAAGAATTATGCCCTAGTCATATTATAAATGAATGCTGTAATATCCCCAATATCAGAGGTTAATCTAAGCTTTAGCCATGCCATAAATGACTATAAGGCTCAAGAGTCAGTCAAAGAAGAGGGTTTCTGAATTTCTTTTTAATAGACATGAGATAAGGAGGAAGTATATGCAAATTATGAGGATATGTGGGTTTACTTGAAGACTTTAAGATGAATGTGATCGATGAAGCATCCTTTCGGGAGTCTGTTCCACAAAGTAGCGATGCTAGGGAAGGAACTATCCGAGTGGAACATTCTCATTACAAAAGAAATACCAAAGGAATGTGTTTCATTCAAGCCTCTGCACGTAGCATGCCGAATATATATATATATATATATATATATATATATATATATATATATATATATATATATATATATATGAGCCATCATCAGAGTGGTTATATGGACATAACATTCGCTATTAGTAAGAATTTCGTCAACTGTCTCTACTTAACCAAATGATAATTTAAGAAAGTCGTAAGCTTCGATATATCTCTCGTGCTTTTTTTCCCGAAATGAACTTCGGACAATTTCTCATGGAAGTTCATCTTTGTCTGAGGAGCGTTATTCGTAATGTTCATAAATTAAATAAATAAAATTAATCGACACAAATATATATATATATATATATATATATATATATATATAGAGAGAGAGAGAGAGAGAGAGAGAGAGAGAGAGAGAAAGGGATAAAAGTGAACATTGAACTCAACATTCAGAGACAGACTTTTCAGTGTAGACTTCATTTTTCATTTTTATATATTATTTTATATACGCTCTATTGCTGATATTGAGTACTTTATCCCTTTAATATATCATACCTTAAAACTATAAACATATATATGTTTGTGTGTGTGTGTGTTCAAATATATTGATATAATAGGAAAGAACTGTAACATTGATGATCCGAAATTCTTTATTATTTTTGTTTTAATTTTTAAAAAACAGTGCTCGATACACAAGTAGAGCCTAAATTATAACTATTTTTCAGGCCTGTTTCGAATGTTAGTAATTTCTGTGTCACAATAGAATCATATTTTTATTAAAAAAATTATATATATATATATATATATATATATATATATATATATATATATATATATATATATTGTTATGGTCCGGTTCCTTGTACCACGGTGATAGTTCAAGGTAGAACCAATAAAGAAGAACACGAACACGGATATGGAATAACACAGATATATTACAAACAGGAATATATACAGAGAAGTAGAAAGTGTTAGTACGAACAATCAGATTTAGTAGTAATTGTCTGAACGCGACTCTGTTTCGGACTGCCTCTGACTCGACTGACTGACTCGCTAGCTCTGACTGACAGACTCCTGACGGACTTCACTCCAGACGGACTTCACTCCAGACTTCAGACTGAAAGCTTTGCTTCCTCTTGAGGCACAGTCTTTATTACGTATGGAATAGTCTATTATGTTATTATGGGTAAGGTCCCGTAACATATATATATATATATATATATATATATATATATATATATATATATAGGTCCAATGCAAATATAAAATTTGTCACTTAGCGAATTGATGTAATTTTAATCCTTTAATAATCGGTCTATCCACTCTTCAGGAGATATCATCAAATGACTGTTTATTTTCTCATTTTTTTTTTATTTTGAGTTAAGAATGAACTATACCGAATTAAAGGAAGTCACGTCACTTGTGGACTTTCACCAGCAGCAACGACTAAAATGGATAGCACATTGATAACACGAAGAAAAAAAGAATGAGATAATCAAGATGCTGACGTTCCGAAGTACTTAAAACGAAAGGTTAGGAAGGAAACTGGAGTGAACCATCAGAGAAATTAGTGAACTTCTGAACTGAAAAATTGTTTTAATAGAGACATTTTATAAATTTTATCCAACTGGCTGATCGATCAATGAATGCCAAATTTTTCCTTATAAAGAAACGTTTAATATTGTTCGCTTGTATCGATTTGTCTGGTTTATAACAGTGACATCATGTCAGAGAGCACAGAATGGTAATCGAACGTTTGCAACGAACTCTTTGCAAGAATAACTTTATCGCAGATGTTTTAAAGCAAACGCCCAAATTTACTGTTTTTGTGGCATTACCAAAAACCTCTTTTCTCTCTGGAAGAATTGCTTTGGTAGAGAAGAAGCTGGTAAAAAAGTAAAAATATAAAAGCCCGCTGGGTATCGCGAGATATTTATGAGCGGTATAGATGCGAGTAAAGAAAAAAAAGAGGAATATTTCCCATAGCTACAACCAAAAAATAAAATAAACACAGATTGCGAAGAATGAATGTTTAAGGGGTGCCAAAATGAATATTTGCAGCCAATATTTCTTCGGACGACACCAAACTGCTGTAAATACTCCTTCTTGAAAGTTTTGATCAGTTTGGATACACTATGGATCTTGGGTGGGGGGGTCGGTGGAGCGACAAGAGAAGGGCCGAGATCCCGCAGCTGTAAAGAGAAGTAAAGACGGAAATATGAGGAGAATTGACATAAAAGAATGGAACAGGGAAATATTTGGGGAGGAAGGAGAAAATGAACAAAAATGAAATCCCGTCATCTCTACGAAGCGCTTGCGCACTCTATATTTCTATCAGCCAATTCATATATATATATATGGTGTAATGTATATGTATACATCTGTGTTCTTCTTCACAGTAATATGATTGGCTGGTGTCAGCCATAAATACAGACTGATATGGAGGTACATGAACGACGCCTATTGCCTACCACTACGACGAGGACCAGTCCATTACGGTTACCTGCTAAATTGTCCTACCCGGTTACAGTAGTCAAAACCACTTTGCTACTTCGAACAAATATATCCCTTTCCGGGACATATCAATATATATATATATATATATGTATATATATATATATATATATATATATATATATAAAAAGAAGAGAGAAACCGCAAACGTTTTTGGTTGTAATGTGGATTTTTTTTTGGTTTTTTTAAATATTATGGTTTATTTTCCATAATTTTGCTACACGTGTTTCTGGTCTCGTGACCATCATCAGTCAAAGAGTGGAGATTTCCACATATTATTAAAAATAATTCATTTTATTTCCTTTATGTTTTTCGATGTTAAATATTCTCGACATGAGATATTCTCTTTTTTGTGTGTTAGTGACCCAAATGTCTTTCTTGAACGTTCTTTCTTGAACGTTCTTTCTTGAATGTTCTTGTCTTTCTTCAATATTCAAGAAAGACATTTGGATCACTAACACACAAAAAAAGAGAATGTCTCGTATCGAGAATATTTAACATCGAAAAACAGAAAGGAAAAAAAAGTTAATTTCATATTACAGCATGGAGCATCTTCTGTATCCGTACCATTTGCAACGTGTTCAGGGTCTTTTGCCCTCTGATCACTCACCCCAGGAGAACTTTTGCCGATAGTTTATTGCTGAAACTGCCGATCTATGGATCTATGGTCTATTCAGTCTTGTTTAAGGATGAGGCAACATTTGGAAGAGATGGAATAACAAATTTACACAACGAACATTTGCAGATCAGAATCCCCATGGTACAGGCTAAACACCAGCAACAGTTTACTATTAATGAGTGGGCTGGAATTGTAGGTGACTGTTTGGTTGGTCCATATGTTCTCCCAGCACATCTTACAGGAGCCGTCTACAGGGACTTTAATTCGAACATACTTCCAAACCTGCAAGAGGATGTACCCCTGCTAATACGAAGATGCATGTGGTTCATGCATAATTGGACTCCATCACATTTTAGTCACATTGTTCACGATGCAATGGCTGGCTGGATAAACTCTCTGCTTCACTTTCTCAGCCATCCGCGGACAACTGGTAAATACCTTGAGTGAAGTTTTCCAAGCAGTAGACAAGTGAGAAAAAACCCCTGGTTTTTATGGGGTTCCACTGGGCGATCTTATTCCAGTTAACAGTAGATAGGTTCGCCTATCGTCCAGTTCACACTCCTCCCCGGTCTTTTGAACAGGATGAGAGGTTTATACTTTGTTTACTGTTTAGAATTGGGCTACCGGTTTCTTCGCAAATCTGTTCATTCTCTTTCACTGCCAATAGCCATTGCGTCTTAGTGGCATTATCACCTTTTGGGGAATGAATTGTTTAAAAAATATATGTAGGTGATTGACTGAAGCTTATGAGCTCGATAACTGTACTGATCAGTTCATTTTATTTTTATTTTTATTTTTATCGTCAACAACAGGATTGTTTCAAATAATGTTCTTTTTGATTTGTACACTTGTCCATTTTATTCAAATAATAGTTAAGAATAATCCAGAACATTTACGGTGGTGGGGGACTGAGTAAATGAGAATAGAAAATGCTTTGAGTATAGAAAAAAAGATCAAGTGATTTAAGACCAGATTTCATCTTCTCGACGAATTGATTCAACCGATATTGCTAGTCGATCAAAAGAAAACCAGAATTCCCACCAGGATCTATTATTACTTTTTATTAACAGTATGGGATATGCAGATGACAACATGATGGTGGATGGCATAGAACGAAAACTGCAGGAACTCATAGACAATCTAGTAAAGGAAAGCAATTGTAAGAAGGCAGAATGTATGGATGTTAACAGGAGGGATAATCCATGATCATTGTTAAGAAATCGAGACGTCAAAAGCATGAAATCTGGAAATTTTGTAGCAGAAATTGTGTAATGCAGATTACAGAAAAGCAGAACATTCATTCTAAATGAATGATTAAAATAATTAAAATATTAAGAATCAGGAAAGTTTCTTTGAAAGAAAAGAAGAATGTCTAACATGCTTAGAATATTGCGACCATTTCTATTTACCTTGAGTTCTTTGTTAAGATCCACAGAAGAATCTACAATATTAACGGTTTTGATCTAGCACCTCAGCTTCTGTCACTTTCCAGCCACCATACGTTTGACTCTCTGTCTTTTCTATAAATACTTTCATAGTAATTATTCGAATGAGCTCTTCGCTATGTAATGCTATTCCTCATATATGGCAGTTAATGCTTGATAATTTCTTGACAGTTAATGGGGGAGACTTGGGGCGACACAAAGAAGTCTGCTGAACTACTATGTAATATCGATGCTTCTATATGGCAGTGAATTCTAGATAATTTCCTCGTAGATGAAGACAAGATTTAACGCAATAGAAATGCGGTTCTACAGAAGTATACTGAGAATCTAATGGATGGCCATGGAAGAATTTATTTTAGGTAATAATGATTTGCTGAAACAAGCCTCTGTAACTAACCCATAGATTTGGGGAAGACGTGGATTCGTATCTTTCCCAAGGGTATTTGCGCGTAAATGAATATAATGAACCCAATTGGAATTGGAACACGTCCATCTGATTTCCAATTTAGAGCCGTTCTACTTTACGCCTATTGCAGATCCAAGATTATAGCACCTGGTATTCCCGTGCGATCACCCATCTAAGTACTGACCAGTCTTGACGCTGCTTTACTTCGGTGATCGTATGAGAACTGATGTTTCAACCTGATATGGCCGTAAGTCTGGGTCATGTCATCAACAAGAAAGGACATACGGAAGGCAAGGGGAACAAGGTGATAACGTCGAGAAATCTACCATACGAGTTTATGTCAATAGATTGTGGAGCGGGACAGAGTGCAAGAGGACAAACATTACTTAGAGCTAGAATAGATAGGAAATTGTGCAGGACGACTCATCACCGCCAACTCAACGCCGTCGACTCAACATCGCCGACTCAACGCCGTCTACTCAACATCGCCGACTCAACATCGCCGACTCAACATCGCCGACTCCGCGACATGCAAACCATGAAATACTTCTTTTATTACTGCACTTGACCTTTCAATGGTGTCTTCGGCACTATTTATCAAGGCTCTGTGCACTTTAGCCACTTCTACATCTGCAACTGACAAACTGTGAGAATGCTTGTTAACTTCGTTGACAAATTTTGTTTAAATCCTTACATTACACAGCGCCAATTTTTTATGTTACTGTCTCTTCTACTAAATTTATCAAATTCAAACAAATTTCCTTTCATTTTTTTCTTTTCCGCTGTGACTCAGAATTTCCTATTTCGGTGTAATGAAAAGTTTGAAAATTAAACACCAGTCAGCCAAATAGGTTGTTGGAACTAAAAAAATAAGACAAACAGGCAAGCTTTCAAATCAACTCAAAGCTATTCTATGTGCACACTACCACAGCCAACACTGGTTTGCCGGTGCTGAGTCGGTGGTGATGAAATGTCACCTCCCGGAATTCTATTCGCTAGGGTCAATCGCTGTAGAATAGTAGTCGCCAAACTTTTTCTACCTACCACTCCCTTGGCTCCTTAACCAGAACACTAGCCCCCCTCCCATAGGAAGACACTTAGGTTTACTGAAACTTCAGGCAGCAATAAATATGACTCTGTAAACGCACATTTGAATGCAATGGATTGCGAGAAATCGGCAAACCGACTTTGAATTCCAGTCAAGTTCGTTACGTTTACTTTCGTGCAAATACACTTGGAAAAGGCATGAACCCATCTCATCTTCCTCCAAATATGGGTTAAGGAGTATTACCGATTGAGCTCAACCAATCTATGCGAAGGACAACTCTGAATTCTAGTAAAGATATGGATGCTACGAAAGCCACAAAAGCAACGCCGAGAATTGTGAATTCCATACATAAAAGTGTAGTCTGGAGTGAATCTAAACACAAACATTCATTTCTCTAGAGTGAATCTAAACACAAATATGCATTTCTCCTGAGTGAATCTAAACACGCATGCCTTTCTCTAAAGTGAATCTAAACAGATACGCATTTATCGTGAGGGAATCTAAACACACATGTCCATTTCTCATGAATGAATCTAAACACGAATGCATTTCTCTTGAATCAATCTAAACACATATGCTAACAACAAAAAAAACGAGTTAAGCAATGTACTTAGCTGTTTAGCAACATGAAAATATATTTTTACAGTTTTAATGCCACTGACGCAGTTGATGCAGATATTTCAGTTTCTCATGAGAAACACTGAAAAGAAATTCTGTGGCTATATCGATTGACGATCAAGATAAAAGCAATGATCCATGCAGACGTCGACTGTTTCAGCTGGCTGTTATGTGACATATGCCTAGCATGATAACATCAACATGATACAAAGAATTGGATTTTCAACTAGTGACAAAGAAAATAAAACCATGCATCCCTATAGAACTATTAGGTTAATATACATATTTTGTAAAGGATACTTAATCCTTTGCAAGTGCAGCTGATGTAATTTTTTTATAAAATAAAATAAAATAATAGAGAGAAAATTATTATTGACTGTAATGTCAGCTAGCAGCCTTCTTTTTTCTTCTGTCATCTGGATCTTTCCACCACACCAGTCGTTTTTTTGCTTTCATCTGGATCTTTCCACCACCCCAGCCGTTTTTTTTTCTGTCAGCTGGATCTTACCACCACCCCAGCCGTTTTTTTTTCTTTCATCTGGATCTTTCCACCAGCCGTTTTTTTTCTTCTGTCATCAGGATCTTTCCACGACACCAGACGTGTTTTTTCTTCTGTCATATGGATCTTTCCACCACCTCAGCCGTTTTTTTCCTTATGTCATATGGATCTTTCCACTACCACTGCCGTTTTTTCCCCTGTCATCTAGATTTTTCCACCAAACCAGACGTTTTTTCTTCTGTCATCTGGATCTTTCCACCAAACCAGACGTTTTTTCTTCTGTCATCTAGATTTTTCCACCAAACCAGATGTTTTTTCTTCTGTCATCTGGATCTTTCTACCACCGCAGCTGTTTCTCTCCTTCTTTCATCTGGATCTTTCCACTACACCAGCCGTTTTTTTTTTCTTCTATCATCTGGATCTGCCTAACAACGCAGCCGTTATTTCATTCTGTTATCTGGATCTTTCCACCAACCCAGCCGTTTTTATCTTCTGTCATCTGGATCTTTCCAACACTCCAGCCAGTTTTTTTTCATCTGGATCTTTCCAACACCCCAGCTGTTTTTTTCATCTGGATCCTGCCACCACTCCAACCTTTGTTTTACTTCTGTCATCTAGATCTTTCCACTACCCAGACGTATTTTTCTCGGTCATTTTTCTCGTTTTTTTTTCTCTTCTGTCATCTGGATCTTTCCACCAGCCCAGCCATTTTTTTCTTCTGTCATCTGGATCTTCCACCACCCCAGCCATTTTTCCTTCTGTCATCTGGATCTTTCCACCACACCAACCGTTTTTTTTCTCTGTCATCTGGATCTTTCCACCAGAACAGCCGTCTTCTCCTCTCTCATCTGGATCTTTCCGCCACCCCAGCCATTTTTCCTCTGTCATATGGATCTTTCCTCCACCCCAGCCGTTGTTTCACTCTATCATCTGGATATTTTCACCGCCCCAGCCGTTTTTTCTTCTGTCATGTGGATCTTTCCCCGTTTTTTTCTTCTATCGTCTGGATCTGTCCACCACCCTAGCCGTTCAACTTCTTCTGTCATCTGGATCTTTCCAACACCCCAGCCGCTTTTTTCTTCTGTCATCTGGATCTTTCCACCACACCAGCCGTTTTTTTTTCTTCTGTCAGCTGGATCTTTCCACCACCCAAGCCATTTTTAACACTGTCATCTGGATCTGTCTACCACTCCAGCCGTTCTTTTTTCTTCTGTCATCTGGATATTTCATCCGTTTTTTCTTCTGTCATCTGGATCTTTCCACTGCTGCAGCCGTTTTTTTCTTCTGTCAGCTGGATCTTTCCAACACCCAAGTCGTTTTTTTCTCTATCGTCTGGATCTGTCTACCACTCCAGCCGTTCTTTTTTCCTCTGTCATCTGAATCTTTCCACCACCCCAACCGTTTTTTCCTTCTATCATCTGGATCTTTCCACTACCCAGAAGGGGATCTAATCACCCCTGGGAATCCTAACTCTAGAACATTATGTTCGAAAGAAAGAATAAATTGCAAAAGATTAGATAAAAACTAATAATAAAAAAGATCTAAATCTTGATCTTCTTTTTAATACTTTTAACTTCAGCAACGGAATGACAAAGTTTAACATGAGACTTACAAGCGACTATCAACATTATATTCGCTAAGCTTAGCTTTGACTGCCACAAGGTCACAGAAATAGAGCACGTACTGAGGACCAGGATCTTTACAGTAATAATATGTGATTTTGTTAGCATTACACCATATCGGGGTGAGGTAAAATATTTAGCACAATGTCACAGAAATAGGCCAACCAGTGTGAAAGAAACTCACAATAGTATGAGTAGTCATTAACTTTCTATCCCGGTGCTAAGGTATGACATATGACCGGTTTAATGTGAGATGCCCACACCTGTGTATAAGGACAACAATTGACCTGTCCCTGCCACAATTCGAAGACAACGTGTTTTCTTCGACCCCACTTCGTTTAGTGCAATTGGGGTAAGTGCTGCTGTAGGTTTTCTCGGGATTAATCATCCCACATTACATATCTGTGAACTACCCAACGGAAGAAACACAAAGAAAGAGAACAGTTACAAGATTTTGATCCCAACATGAAGTAACTTTAAGTATTGTTAACACCATTTCCCATCATGATATCGGCGATCATGACACTCCACAAGATCCTTTTTTGATTATATATAAATTACCAAGTGGTTTGGATTTCAGTGTTTTCTTTCTAATGATTTAGTTGTTTACCCAGCTATTTAACACCTAGCTAGCTGAAATTGTCCATTAGTGCGAAAGTGAATGCAAACAGACTAACCCGGAATGTGAACTCAGCTCATCCTTTCCACTTTTCGCACTAACATACTTGACACTCTCCTCAAATGGTAAATGAGTTAGAGGATGGAAAGAGTAAACGCTGAAATCCGAAGGCGCTTTGCCATAGTGGAAGATGCCTTCCAAAAGCTAAGCAAAGTATTTCGTTAGAAACAAAGAAAAGACTACTGAAATGTTACGTCTTATCAATCCTGCTATATGGCAATGAAAGCTGGACAATTGCATCTCAGATGACAAAAAAAACTTGAAGTAAGAGAAATGTTGTTCTACAGAAGAATGATGAGAATAGCATGGATGGAACATTTAAGAAACGAAAAAGGTTTTGAGAAAATGCAAATAAAAAGGAAACTTAAACTTAACGTAAGTAAGAGACGGTTAATATTTCTAGGACACATAATGAGGAAAGCGAGCTTGGAAAATTTGATACTCACAGGACAGATTGAAGGCAAAAGGGACATAGGAAAACAATGCATAACCTTCCTAGTGAGCTTGGAACAGGTTTTAGGAGAAAAGTTTAGGAGAGCAAGATTTATGAGAGATAACAAGAAGACCAAATTTATTAAAAACAAATAAAGAGAGGAAATTGTGGAGAGTCATGATCGCCAATATCCTGAAGCAACACGGAACATAAAAGATGTCGCAATCGATATTTGTCTTCCTGGATATAGAATTATGGATGTTTTAAATTGAACTGTGTAACTGAAGTGTATATTTACACGATTTACATTTTTCAAACTGTTGTCCTCATTTTGCTGACATATTCACGGCGTTTCGGCCGTTGTACGTTCTGGTCTTCTTCAGGTGATTGGAATTTAGAACTGAACCCTTTATTTAGTCCACGGAGATAGATTGGCCTCCTTCCTCAAGGTGCTCATGATCCAATGGATAAAAGCGTTGGTTGAATCCAGTCACTTGACCCAAAGAGTTGTGAGTTCAATACCTGGCTACGGCAGTGTCGAACAAAAACTTGGAGAGTTGTGTTAAAGGGAGATAACTGAGACATCCGGAAGAGGCATGGCACGTGGAACTAGAACAATCTACCATGGTGGCCGATATTAAGTGTTCAGTTCGAAATTTCAATCTCCTGCAGAAGGCCGAAACGTGCAACGACCAAAAGGTCGTGAATATGGCAATACAGATGAGGACAACAGTCCGAACAATGTAAAAGGTGTAAATAATAACAATACCTCATCTCAGAAATATACACAGATGTTGAAGTGTATATATTTGAAGAACTGCTAGTAAGCTAGCGTTCTGAATCTTCCACTTCTTTTTTCAAAGTTTTTTGTCAGGTCTGAATGAAGAAAGAATGGTTTCTTGGAACTGTTCTATTTTATATATATATATATATATATATATATATATATATATATGCTGTAATGGTGCCAAGGATGGCAGTGAAAAAAAACCCGGATTATCAGCTTCCAAACCTTGTTTTGAGACTGCATTTATTTATTGGATTATTTTTTGTTTTTTGTTTTTTTTTTCTTTTAGGAGAGAATTCTTCGTTTGGATTTGACAACTGCACATCTAACATTTTCTCATATTTTTTCTGTTCTTTTTCCTACCTTACCCCACCGCCTTCTCAACATTCGACCCCCTATCCCGCCATTTCTCGAATTTGGAAAGATTTTCTGGAAAGGAGATGCAGAAGGAAATTGCCTTGATCTTTCTTCTAACTACTTCTCCCCCCTCCTCTTCTCCCTCTCCCTTTCCACTCCTGTCTGTCTGTCTTTCTCTGTCACTTTTTTTTTTTTTTAGCCCAGACTATATATAATAAATATTTAAACAGAAAGAAAGCAGGAAATAAATATATTTATTGGCAGCTGGAGACTGAGAAAATAGAGAGACAAAGACTTAAGACATACTGACAGACAGAGAGAGAGAGAGAGAGAGAGAGAGGAGCCTGGGGGAAAGAGGATTTAATGCTGGAGAAATGAGGCGATGGAGAAAATATTTGGGGAAACGTATCGAATACTGAAACACACCTGAAGAAGAGTGTACAACGGTCAAATATTGTGAGTATAAAAAAACTAAATACGCATAGAGGCCTAACTTCCTCCTCTACAAATTACCAACAATAAAAATAATTTTCACAAACACCCTTTCGGTCGAAGCAAATGGAATAAACACTTTTATATGCATGTAGAATATACGTCAACTCATAGACATACACACACATATATATATATATATATTTTTCATATATAGTGGCAACTTGAATTATTGTTAATCTGTATGGTATGTGTTTATTTTATTATATTGTTTATTGTTTTAGGCTCATAATATTGCAAATTTAACTGTCATTGTTACAATGTATATGTCTGAAATGGAAAGATTTTTTAGAAAAAATCTATACATTTGACCAAATTAAGTACTACATGTTAATCAATATAAAACGGGTTTTATATAAATATAATTTCGGATACTTTTTGAACTAAAATCGTAACTTTAATAGATACACACTGGAGAATTAGGATCCCATTTATTTTACTCTTAATTTAAAGTA